TAAGGTTGTGCCATGCGCCATGCATGGCTCACGTGTTCAATCTGGTTGTCAAGCGGTTCCTAAAATCCACCATCCCACTGCAAGACATCCTTAAAATGTCGTAAACTTTGCATGCATTTCAGCCATTCCTACACCGCAAAGCACACCCTCCTTGAGCTGCAGTGCAGGCAGAACGGAATTGCCACAGCATCGCCTGATCTGCGACGTTGCAACAAGGTGGAATTCAACCCTACACATGTTAGACCGCCTTTACGAACAGCGAAAGGCCATCACCGATTTCCTGATGTTACAAGCGGATAAAGGTACTCCCCCGTGTGTAACTTCGATGTCAGCCATTGGCAGCTCATGCGTGACACCTGCCGCTTGCTCAGGCCCTTTGAGGAGGCCACGCTATTCGTGAGTCGGCAGGACTATGGGATGAACGACGTCATTCCTCTGTTGCACGTCCTGGAACAAATGCTGTTAACAATGGCTGGTCAGGGTGCGGTAGACGTGGCGCACAGATCTCAACGCCACATGACCCCTGTGGGGGCAGGACAGGAAGAAGAGGAGGAGGTAGAGGAGGACATTTGTGCTCAGGAATTATTGAGTGAAATGGGTGGTTTTTCCACTCAGCGGACAGGAGTGGAGGAGCAGGAGCATCTGGTAGAGGAGGAGGAGGAGGAGACAGAGGACCCAGACGCACCGTGGCAGTATGCTGTGGAGATGGAGGCAGGGAGTCCCTCGCATTCCTTGGCACAAATGGCCCATAGCATGCTGCTCGCTGCTTGCGTAGCGACAGCCGAATAATAACCATCAGACAGAGGGATGACTTTTGGCTGTCCACCTTGTTGGACCCTCGCGCTACCGTTCAAAAATGGTGGCCTTTTTCACACCTGCTGAGAGGGAGGCCAAAATAACGTACTATAAAAACCACCTATGTAGTCAGTTGGTCTCTGCCTTTCTGCGCCAACGTCCATCCTCAGACACTGTGGGCCCTGTGCGCTCGCGTTCCGCTGCCATGGCAGCAGGGGAGGGGGGTGGGGTGGTAGGAGCAGTGGCAGCTCCACCAGCAGCGGCTGCCTCAGTCTGCAGTCGATGATGAGTAGCTTTCTTCACCAGCGCAGTGAGGAAACTACTAACCAGCCCTCAGCAGCAGCAGCAGCATCAGGTGGACCTGGAGCAGGACCTCAAACAACAGGCTTGGGCCTACTTGGACAGCACCCTGCCAACCGAGGTAGACAATCCCCTTGACTACTGGGCAACGAAACTTGACCTTTGGCCCCAACTAGCTGAATTTGCCCTTGAAAGCTGTCATGTCATGCCGGCCAGTAGCGTGGCATCGGAGAGCGCGTGTTTAGTGCGGCAGGAGGTATTGTAAACTCCGCGGAGGACACGACTGTCCACCCAAAGTGTGGAGAGACTCACGTTTGTGAAAATGAATCAGGCGTGGATTAGTCTGGATTTCAAACCACCAGTTCCTGACACAACTGACTAAATCCGCCATGAATCATGCCCCAAACATGTGCCACTTTCAGGTCTCCTCACACTGCTGGTGTGTTGATTTTTTTTGACATAGGGTGCTGGCAGATTACGGGCCTCCCATAGCTGCTGCCAGGCCCCTAATCTGCCATGGGCCCCTATATATACCTCCTCCTCATGCTGCTGCCAAGTCCAGAGTCTCTCATGGGTCCCTGTACGGCCTCCCATTGCTGCTGTCTCCATCGCCACACACTCTGCCATGTGCCACTTTCAGGTCTCCTCCTCACACACTGCTGGTGTGTTGAATTTTTTGACATAGGGTGCTGGCAGATTACGGGCCTCCTATAGCTGCTGCCAGGCCCCTAATCTGCCATGGGCCCCTATACCGCCTCCCGCCTCCTCATGCTGCTGCCAGGTCCAGAGTCTCTCATGGGTCCCTGTACGGCCTCCCATTGCTGCTGTCTCCATCGCCACACTCTGCCATGTGCCACTTTCAGGTCTCCTCACACACTGCTGGTGTGTTGAATTTTTTGACATAGGGTGCTGGCAGATTACGGGCCCTCCCATAGCTGCTGCCAGGCCCCTAATCTGCCATGGGCCCCTATATACCGCCTCCTCATGCTGCTGCCTGCTGCCAGTCCAGAGTCTCTCATGGTCCCCCTGTACGGCCTCCCATTGCTGCTGTCTCCATCGCCACGCCACACTCTGCCATGTGCCACTTTCAGGTCTCCTCACACACTGCTGGTGTGTTGAATTTTTTGACATAGGGTGCTGGCAGATTACGGGCCTCCCATAGCTGCTGCCAGGCCCCTAATCTGCCATGGGCCCCTATATACCGCCTCCTCATGCTGCTGCCAGGTCCAGAGTCTCTCATGGGTCCCTGTACGGCCTCCCATTGCTGCTGCTGTCTCCATCGCCACACACTCTGCCATGTGCCACTTTCAGGTCTCCTCACACACTGCTGGTGTGTTGAATTTTTTGACATAGGGTGCTGGCAGATTACGGGCCTCCCATAGCTGCTGCCAGGCCCCTAATCTGCCATGGGCCCCCCCATATACCGCCTCCTCATGCTGCTGCCAGTCCCAGAGTCTCTCATGGGTCCCTGTACGGCCTCCCATTGCTGCTGTCTCCATCGCCGCCACGCCACACTCTGCCATGTGCCACTTTCAGGTCTCCTCACACACTGCTGGTGTGTTGAATTTTTTGACATAGGGTGCTGGCAGATTACGGGCCTCCCATAGCTGCTGCCCAGGCCCCTAATCTGCCATGGGCCCCTATATACCGCCTCCTCATGCTGCTGCTGCCAAGTCCAGAGTCTCTCATGGGTCCCTGTACGGCCTCCCATTGCTGCTGTCTCCATCGCCCACACACTCTGCCATGTGCCACTTTCAGGTCTCCTCACACACTGCTGGTGTGTTGAATTTTTTGACATAGGGTGCTGGCAGATTACGGGCCTCCCATAGCTGCTGCCAGGCCCCTAATCTGCCATGGGCCCCTATATACCGCCTCCTCATGCTGCTGCTGCCAGGTCCAGAGTCTCTCATGGGTCCCTGTACGGCCTCCCATTGCTGCTGTCTCCATCGCCACACTCTGCCATGTGCCACTTTCAGGTCTCCTCCTCACACTGCTGGTGTGTTGAATTTTTTGACATAGGGTGCTGGCAGATTACGGGCCTCCCATAGCTGCTGCCAGGCCCCTAATCTGCCATGGGCCCCTATATACCCGCCTCCTCATGCTGCTGCCAGGTCCAGAGTCTCTCATGGGTCCCTGTACGGCCTCCCATTGCTGCTGCTGGTCTCCATCGCCACACTCTGCCATGTGCCACTTTCAGGTCTCCTCACACACTGCTGTGTGTGTTGAATTTTTTGACATAGGGTGCTGGCAGATTACGGGCCTCCCATAGCTGCTGCCAGGCCCCTAATCTGCCATGGGCCCCTATATACCGCCTCCTCATGCTGCTGCCAGGTCCAGAGTCTCTCATGGGTCCCTGTACGGCCTCCCATTGCTGCTGTCTCCATCGCCACACTCTGCCATGTGCCACTTTCAGGTCTCCTCACACACACTGCTGGTGTGTTGAATTTTTTGACATAGGGTGCTGGCAGATTACGGGCCTCCCATAGCTGCTGCCAGGCCCCTAATCTGCCATGGGCCCCCCTATATACCCGCCTCCTCATGCTGCTGCCAAGTCCAGAGTCTCTCATGGGTCCCTGTACGGCCTCCCATTGCTGCTGTCTCCATCGCCACACACTCTGCCATGTGCCACTTTCAGGTCTCCTCACACACTGCTGGTGTGTTGAATTTTTTGACATAGGGTGCTGGCAGATTACGGGCCTCCCATAGCTGCTGCCAGCCCCTAATCTGCCATGGGCCCCTATACCGCCTCCTCATGCTGCTGCCAGGTCCAGAGTCATGGGTCCCATGGGTCCCCTGTACGGCCTCCCATTGCTGCTGTCTCCATCGCCACACAGGCCCCTAATCTGCCATGTGCCACTGCAGCCTCAGGTCTCCTCACACTGCTGGTGTGTAGGCCTCCCATTTTTTGACATAGGGTGCTGGCAGATTACGGGCCTCCCATAGCTGCTGCCAGGCCCCTAATCTGCCATAGGCCCCTAGTATACCGCCTCCTATGCTCTCCTCATGCTGCAGCCCAAGTCCAGAGTCTCTCATGGTCCCAGGGTGCCCTGTTGGGCCTCATGCCATTGCTGCTCCTCCCGCCACACTCTGCCATGTGCCACTTTCAGGTCCCCTGCTGCTGTCTCCACACTGCTGGCCACTTTCTGCCTCCCACACTGCTGGTGTGTTGAATTTTTTGACATAGGGTGCTGGCAGATTACGGGCCTCCCATAGCTGCTGCCAGGCCCCTAATCTGCCATGGGCCCCTATATACCGCCTCCTCATGCTGCTGCCAGGTCCAGAGTCTGTCATGGGTCCCCCTGTACGGCCTCCCATTGCTGCTGTCTCCATCGCCACACTCTGCCATGTGCCACTTTCAGGTCTCCTCACACACTGCTGGTGTGTTTGAATTTTTTGACATAGGGTGCTGGCAGATTACGGGCCTCCCATAGCTGCTGCCAGGCCCCTAATCTGCCATGGGCCCCTATATACCGCCTCCTCATGCTGCTGCCAGGTCCAGAGTCTCTCATGGGTCCCTGTACGGCCTCCCATTGCTGCTGTCTCCATCGCCACACTCTGCCATGTGCCACTTTCAGGTCTCCTCACACACTGCTGGTGTGTTGAATTTTTTGACATAGGGTGCTGGCAGATTACGGGCCTCCCATAGCTGCTGCCAGGCCCCTAATCTGCCATGGGCCCCTATATACCGCCTCATGCTGCTGCCAGGTCCAGAGTCTCTCATGGGTCCCTGTACGGCCTCCCATTGCTGCTGTCTCCATCGCCACACTCTGCCATGTGCCACTTTCAGGTCTCCTCACACACTGCTGGTGTGTTGAATTTTTTGACATAGGGTGCTGGCAGATTACGGGCCTCCCATAGCTGCTGCCAGGCCCCTAATCTGCCATGGGCCCCTATATACCGCCTCCTCATGCTGCTGCCAGGTCCAGAGTCTCTCATGGGTCCCTGTACGGCCTCCCATTGCTGCTGTCTCCATCGCCACACTCTGCCATGTGCCACTTTCAGGTCTCCTCTCACACTGCTGGTGTGTTGAATTTTTTGACATAGGGTGCTGGCAGATTACGGGCCTCCCATAGCTGCTGCCAGGCCCCTAATCTGCCATGGGCCCCTATATACCGCCTCCTCATGCTGCTGCCAGTCCAGAGTCTCTCATGGGTCCCTGTACGGCCTCCCATTGCTGCTGTCTCCATCGCCACTCTGCCATGTGCCCTTTCAGGTCTCCTCACACTGCTGGTGTGTTGAATTTTTTGACATAGGGTGCTGGCAGATTACGGGCCTCCCATAGCTGCTGCCAGGCCCCTAATCTGCCATGGGCCCCTATACCGCCTCCTCATGCTGCTGCCAGGTCCAGAGTCTCTCATGGGTCCCTGTACGGCCTCCCCCATTGCTGCTGTCTCCATCGCCACACTCTGCCATGTGCCACTTTCAGGTCTCCTCACACACTGCTGGTGTGTTGAATTTTTTGACATAGGGTGCTGGCAGATTACGGGCCTCCCATTGCTGCTGCCAGGCCCGTAATCTGCCATGGGCCCCCGTACCGACTCCTCATGCTGTGACGTTGCAACAAGGTGGAATTCAACCCTACATATGTTAGACCGCCTTTACGAACAGCAAAAGGCCATCACAGATTTCCTGATGTTAAAAGCGGATAAAGGTACTCCCTGTGTAACTTAGATGTCAGCCATTGGCAGCTCATGCGTGACACCTGCGCTTGCTCAGGCCCTTTGAGGAGGCCACGCTATTCGTGAGTCGGCAGGACTATGGGATGAACGACGTCATTCCTCTGTTGCACGTCCTGGAACAAATGCTGTTAACAATGGCTGGTCAGGGTGCGGTAGACGTGGCGCACAGATCTCAACGCCACATGACCCCTGTGGGGGCAGGACAGGAAGAAGAGGAGGAGGTAGAGGAGGACATTGGTGCTCAGGAATTTATTGAGTGAAATGGGTGGTGGTTTTTCCACTCAGCGGACAGGAGTGGAGGAGCAGGAGCATCTGGTAGAGGAGGAGGAAGAGGAGACAGAGGACCCAGACGCACCGTGGCAGTATGCTGTGGAGATGGAGGCAGGGAGTCCCTCGCATTCCTTGGCACAAATGGCCCATAGCATGCTCGCTTGCTTGCGTAGCGACAGCCGAATAATAACCATCAGACACAGAGGGATGACTTTTGGCTGTCCACCTTGTTGGACCCTCGCTACCGTTCAAAAATGGTGGCCTTTTTCACACCTGCTGAGAGGGAGGCCAAAATAACGTACTATAAAAACCACCTATGTAGTCAGCTGGTCTCTGCCTGTCTGCGCCAACGTCCATCCTCAGACACTGTGGGCCCTGTGCGCTCGCGTTACGCTGCCATGGCAGCAGGGGAGGGGTGGGGTGGTAGGAGCAGTGGCAGCTCCACCAGCAGCAGCTGCCTCAGTCTGCAGTCGATGATGAGTAGCTTTCTTCACCAGCGCAGTGAGGAAACTAATAACCAGCCGCAGCAGCAGCAGCAGCAGCAGCAGCAGCATCAGGTGGACCTGGAGCAGGACCTCAAACAACAGGCTTAGGCCTACTTGGACAGCACCCTGCCAACCGAGGTAGACAATCCCCTTGACTACTGGGCAACGAAACTTGACCTTTGGCCCCAACTAGCTGAATTTGCCCTTGAAAGGCTGTCATGCCCGGCCAGTAGCGTGGCATCGGAGCGCGTGTTTAGTGCGGCAGGAGGTATTGCAACTCCGCGGAGGACACGACTGTCCCACCCAAAGTGTGGGAGAGACTCACGTTTGTGAAAATGAATCAGGCGTGGATTAGTCTGGATTTCAAACCACCAGTTCCTGACACAACTGACTAAATCCGCCATGAATCATGCCCCAAACATGTGCCACTTTCAGGTCTCCTCACACTGCTGGTGTGTTCCATTTTTTTGTCATAGGGTGCTGGCAGATTACGGGCCTCCCATAGCTGCTGCCAGGCCCCTAATCTGCCATGGGCCCCTATACCGCCTCCTCATGCTGCTGCCAAGTCCAGAGTCTCTCATGGGTCCCTGTACGGCCTCCCATTGCTGCTGTCTCCATCGCCACACTCTGCCATGTGCCACTTTCAGGTCTCCTCACACTGCTGGTGTGTTGAATTTTTTGACATAGGGTGCTGGCAGATTACGGGCCTCCCATAGCTGCTGCCAGGCCCCTAATCTGCCATGGGCCCCTATATACCGCCTCCTCATGCTGCTGCCAGGTCCAGAGTCTCTCATGGGTCCCTGTACGGCGGCCTCCCATTGCTGCTGTCTCCATCGCCACACTCTGCCATGTGCCACTTTCAGGTCTCCTCACACACTGCTGGTGTGTTGAATTTTTTTGACATAGGGTGCTGGCAGATTACGGGCCTCCCATAGCTGCTGCCAGGCCCCTAATCTGCCATGGGCCCCTATATACCGCCTCCTCATGCTGCTGCCAAGTCCAGAGTCTGTCATGGGTCCCTGTACGGCCTCCCATTGCTGCTGTCTCCATCGCCACACTCTGCCATGTGCCACTTTCAGGTCTCCTCACACTGCTGGTGTGTTGAATTTTTTGCTCCCATTGCTGCTGTCTCCATCGCCACACTCTGCCATGTGCCACTTTCAGGTCTCCTCACACTGCTGGTGGGTTCCATTTTGTCATAGGGTGCTGACAGATTACGGGCCTCCCATTGCTGCTGCCAGGCCTGTAATCTGCCATGGGCCTCCGTACCGCCTGGTCTTGCTGCTGCTGGGTCCCACAGTGTGACATGGGTCCCTGTACCGCCTCCCATTGCTCCCACTCTGCCATGTGCCACTTTGAGGTCTCCTCACACTCCTGCTGGTTTCCATTTTGTCATAGGTTGCTGTATGGCCTCCCATTGCTGCTGCCTCCACCGCCACACACTGTGGCTCCAAACACTGGTTTTGCCCCGTGACTGGCCAAATGAGTGAAGTGTGCGGTGATTCTAAGCAGGGAATCGAATTTTTGGGGGGGGGCTCATCTTGGACTTGGGTCTGCTGTACTTCCTGCATGGATATGATTGCAGCAGGTTGATGCAGCTTAGAAAAAGACAAATGCAGGTCAGAATAAGGCCAAATGAACTTACTAATGATCTCAGAAGTGTCTCAAACTAGTCTCAAATGCAAGCAGGGGCGGAATGACAACTCATGGGGCCCCCTGGCAATAGGGGATCATGGGGCCCATGTGTCTTTGCCCAAACTTAAAAAAAGCCTATGAAAAAAGTTACCAGGGGCATCTCATGGGCCCCCTACTGACCCCAGGCCCTCGGGCAGTGCCTGAGTTTCCAAATGGTCAGTCCACCCCTGAATGCAAAGTGATATACTTCTGAAAGCAAGCTGCATTGGCCTATGAACACAAGCCCAAAGACCATTGACAACAGCCATTATTGTGTTTACACCACCTTTCACGTCACTATTTTTCTACCCTCTTTGTGCATCTCCACCTTCTATCAGTGATCTTACTAAAATACAGGCATCTTTAAGTTCCCTTACACATGTGTTGGGACATGCAAGTGTATGGGACTGAACAGGCCCATTTAAAAGATTCCCCAGACAGCAACTAAGGGTTGGAAGGTGCTGCTTTGGTGGAGCACAAGCTTTGGTGGTAACTTTATTTCTTCTAATAATGTGCTGTCTGAAGCAATGGCTATGTGAAACACACGTATCATCAAATAGAGTACAGTATATGTGCACACTCTCGTTTGCACACACAAATATCTCAGTCAAGTGTTTTTTGCAGCAGGACTCAGCCAAGGAATAAAAAGAAACAGTAAGAAAGAGGCCTTACATATAATAATATTGTAACTTTACATTTCAGGGATGAGGCATGTGCTGTTACTTGAAATCTGCCAAAACAGAAACATCAGCCCCAACTCAGAGTAAGCGAGTAGTAGAGGGTAAGTTACCTCTAACACCCTTGTAAAACGTTCCCAACTACTGCATGAGCTTAGAGTTGATGTCTGACATTTTTTGGGCATGCTGGAGGACAGTAAAACTAAATTAAAGCCTATAGTTTCCCTAACATGGCACTACCTGCACAGAGTTCTCCTTCTGGATACTCTGGTTTCCTCCTACACTCCAAATGTATGCTGGTACATCAATTGGCTCCTGTGTCTAAATTATCCCTAGTATGTACAGTGGGGCAAAAAAGTATTTAGTCAGCCACCAATTGTGCAAGTTCTCCCACTTAAAAAGATGAGAGGGGCCTGTAATTGGCATCATAGGTACACCTCAACTATGAGAGACAAAATGAGAAAAAAAATCCAGACAATCACATTGGCTGATTTGGAAAGAATTTATTTGCAAATTATGGTGGAAAATAAGTACCATAACTTGCACAGTTGGTGGCTGACTAAATAGTTTTTTGCCCCACTGTATATGAATGAACATGAATTAGGGAGCTTAGATAGACTGATGTGAATGTACAATATATATGTAAAGTGATGAATAAATTGACGGCGCTTTATAAGCACCTGTATTAAATAGTTAAAATAATAATATAACATAAATAAATAAATAAATAAAATAATTAGTACAAACAAGACAGGACTATGCTATATAACAGAGTATATCTTATATGCACTGCTCATGCCATAAATAGGTTGGCTTGACAGAGCAATAGTGTCAGACTATAGACCATCCTACACTGAAAACTGACTAAGAATGGTCATACAGTAAAGGTCAAGATAACATCAAAAGAATTTACTATTTTACCCTCCTCCAGCATCCCAGACAGTGGGTGAGAGAAGGCTGCAATATGTATAACAATGTAAAAGTATAGTGTTTGGTTCATGGAGGTTTTCTATTATTGGTCAAAACCAATGGACTTGTGTCTTTTTATTCTAAGTCTGACTATGTTACTATTCAGATTCCTAGAAATGCCCATTCATGACAGGTTCTGTTTAAAAATGACTGCTGTACTGCAGCCATCATATCTGGAAGCATTCTCCTAAACTCTTTATGCTTTAAAAAGTACATAAAATGAATATCAGATCTACAAGCAATGACGAACTAGCGCAGTGAATTATTACGGCAGAATATATCAATTTCTCACTTTCATCACATCACAAAATCTAAAACAAAACTAATTGCTAAACATTGCCACAATTAAACATGTATAAACCCCCTTCTCATTTAGCAATTTGGGTACTCAGTCAAAGTGACAGACAGCAAAGTGAAGTAATTAAGGCCAGGATAATAGAGGCAGAAAGGTAATGACATGACAATTTGTCAATATTACACTTCAAGTGCATTGCTGACTTTATCATCAAGTATCTAGAGTGCCTTCATTTCCAATAAGCAAATGTGTAGTACTGCTATTCAACAAGATATTGTAGGGGTCTTATATGTACAATGGAGGAGAAAACGTGTTTGTTGGGAAAGAAGAGAAATATTAGCCATCAGATCCATGTGCTTTGCCCACTATATTCATCAGACCATTAACTAAATTTTTTCTCTCAAATTTCATACATTTTTACAGATGTATTTAAAATAAAATAATTATTGCATTCTGTTTTCTAGCACTTTACCATCACCAATTGCAATTAATAGCATTATTGATTATTTAAAAACAGCATGTCCATATAGCTAGGAAATTGTCTCAACAGCATAACGCGTGGAAGCAAGTCTGGATTTAACACCTTGATCAGAAATTGGCAACTTTGGAATTCCTACCTTGATTAGCATTTGACAATCTCATTCAAATCTCTGCCCACTGCAGTCATATTAATAAATATTTCTAAATCTAAAAGGAAATAATTCATTTTAGAGGAAGGCGCCTATTGAAAATAAAACATGAATTTAAAAAATAAAAATAATTTAGCATGCTAAAGCTCATAAGTCCTAGCTGTTTAATTTATGGTGACCAATCAGTTCCTCTTTGATGACTATATTATAGTGACATCTAGCTGGGTTTCTGTATCTTGCATTGTTTCATTAAACCATTTTCTATTAATTTAATAGTTCAAAAGGACAGATTGATATAAGGGAGAGTTGTTTCATAACTAAACTTGCACTGAAAAAAATGGCACAGGTATACTAAATGGTCTTTAGAGTGGAAGTCCAGACAAAAAACTTTTAGGTTTACAAAGGGTAGTTGATTTACTAAAATCGACAAGTGCAAAATCTGGGGCATGGTAGCCAATCAGCTTCTAACAGCTTCTTCAGTTAAGCTTTGACATTAAAACTTGGAAGCTGATTGGTTTCTATGCAGCTGCACCAGATTTTGCACTCTCCAGTTTTAGTAAATAACTCCAAAGTGGGTAAAGCTTAGGACCTCCTCAAGCTTTTATTGCTATGCCCTCACTTAGGAAATCTACCTTTCTTCGTGGTCATGATAGGAAAGGATAGGAAATATAAGGAATCTTCCCTACACGGGTGTAGGCTAAATAAAAAACTTTCTTCTATCCCATTTGAATGAGGAAGGGAAAGGACTTCTGTCTGCTTTCATTGCTCTATGTAGCCCCATTACAAAGAGCACCCTTATTTGTGCTTGCGGTCTATCCATTAACAAAATATTCACACAGAAATATGGAAAAACTTTGCACAATGCACATAATTATTTTACTATGGGCAAAAGGGAAGGATGTGTTAGTGGTTTGTATCCATTTTATAGCAAGTAGATGAATGAGAGCCGCACTGTCTTGAAGTGTGTCTCTCATTCATCTACTTTCTATAAATGATGGGCAAAGATGAGCTTCTTTGGTCAAACAACTTACCAGTCCGTTTATAAGGGGAAGACCACAATTTGTAAGTTTTAAAAATAGATGTCCAATTGTCATTTTTAATAGTTACCATATTGTCCTAATGGACCTGTGTTCAAGTGGCAGTGTAAGAAAAGTAACTCCAAACATGATTCATATTTTGCCTCTTGTTGGTGTATTCTGCTTTTAGGGTGTCTAAATATAAAACATATGCAAAGTAAGAAAATAGGAAGAGCTTCTCTTCCACGCTAGCCTCTTCCCAAGGCCTGCAGTCAACAGCGGGGATGTTTGTGTGCAATTCCTCTGGATCACTGGTTGGTGTGTGTGATTCTGCTAATGTTGTATCAAATCACTGGTTGATTGTTGGTGTTTTATACAACTGGTATGTTCATTAGTACACTGACATTTTTCTATACAAGAT